CCACTCAGCCTTTCCCATTACTCCTCCGGAACCTTCCCCTCTTTTGAGTACTTTACTCTTCATCATCCCTCCAATTTTTCCCTCAAAATCCTCCATGTTTCCCACGCCCGCCACCCAACCTCCCCCACCTTCCTTTCGGACATTTCCACCCTCCTATCTTCCCTTTCCTCCGAATGCTTCCTCGTCCTAGGTGACTTCAACCTCCACTTGACCCCCTCCTGCTCTACCTCTGCTGACTTCTCCTACCTCCTTTCCTCCCCCATCACTACCTCCACTTCAACTCTGCTACCACACCACAGTCACCCCTTGATCTGGTGATCACCCAGAGCCTCACCGTCTCAGACATCACCATCACTGACAAAGCCATTTTTCAGCGCCTTGAGACGTCCTCCTGATGCGAAAGGCGCTGTACAATTATTGTTGAAACATATTAAGTGTTAAATTACACAGGCGGGTAATTCCCTGTGTTGTAGCTATGTGGTTTTAGCTTTTTAAACTCCAGCAGTATCCAATGCAGTCCCCCATGTCTTGGGCCTCTGGAATTAGGTAAGGAATGTAAGATTATATTTGTGATGCTTAATGTTTTTAATGTTTTAATATTGATCCATATCACTTTAGTCAGATGCAAAATTACCCATAAGCTCTCCATTTTTCTGAGCTAAAGTGGTAGGGTGTCATCTGGTCACTTTCTTGTTCTTTTTCCCTGGGTACTGTAACGCATACCCTGCATCACTAGCCTTATCCACTATAGGAAAAGGTCCCTTCCATTTTGGAATAAATACATGCGCCTTTGCACCATAGTCCAGTACCATTATAGTGTCGCCCACCTCATATATAAAAGATCAAACCTTTTTGTCATTAATTTGTCTTTTAGAGTGTCTTGATTCTTGGGACACAAACTCATTGGTGACTCACATGTTCTAACATTTTAGATAACCAAGCCTCTCCCATCGTCCCTTGTAGGATGGGAGTTACCATAGCCTGAGGCACCAATAGGTGACCTCGTGTTTTCATCAATCAACAACAACAAAATTACATTTATAGAGCGCCTTTCACGTCGGGACAACGTCCCAAATCGTCCTGTCATCGCCTGATAAGGTGTAATTTTTGTTGTAGCATTGGGGGTTGACCTGATGGCCATGAATCACATGAGCAGCATAGTTGCCCACTGTTTTAGGATGTTCTGCACAGAATTTTTTTAGCATTGTTTTTTAAGCTTGGTTCCCCCTTTCCAGAATTCCAGATGATTGTGGGTGAAGTGATACATGCAATTCTTGATCAATCCTCATTACCCTTTGTATTTCCTTAAACACATTTCCAGTAAAATGTGAGTCCTGATCACTGTCCACTGGTATTGGCAATCCCCATCTTGACATCACATCACACAGAAGTGATGGCAGTGTTACTTCTATGGGGAATGCTTCGATCCATTTAGTAAATTTAGCGATTATTACTTAACAATATTGGTATCGTGACCCAGATTTTGGCAGGGGTCCAACAAAATCAATTTGTATATAGGTTCAGGGGCTGTTGGGTGGAGGAGCTGATCTTAAAAATATTTGGTTAGTATGCAGTGTAGTGTTGTGATGTAAGCAAATTAAGCACCTTTGCCCCTTAATCTTATATCATCTTCTAGCCCTGGCCACCAAGCTGTATTCAATAACTTTTGGATGGTAACCTTTGCTGAGCAGTGGCCACCGGTTGGATGTGCATGGAATATATTGAAAAATTCATCAGCCAAAGCAGGAGAAACATATTTGACTGCAATGGGTCATTGCCCTTGTGCATTAATAATAATAATAATAATCCTTGCATTTGATATAGCGCTTTTCACGTCGGGAGGATGTCCAAAAGCGCTTCACAGAATACACTGTAAAGTGAATTGACTGTATATTTGTGGGCAAACGCAGCAGCCAATTGCGCACAGCAATGTCCCACAAACAGTCGTAGATTGAAAATGACCAATTTATTATTGTTTTTTTTTTTGGTTTTTGGAGGGATTATTATTAGGCTCTGTGTGGAGTAAGGAAACTTGCCCAAGGTTTCGCCCTCTGCCTGGAATTGAACTCAGGTCTCTCACTTGCAAAGCGAGTGCTCTAACCACTGAGCTACAGGCATTAGTATATGTTGGTCCCCAGTAATTATCTCAGTATCCTGTGCCCATTCTACAACTTCTACCGGTGCCTGTTCTGTCATCCATTGTATGCCTTCCTGTGCTGTATGTTTTGCTTCTTTATCTGCCTTTTCATTTCCTTCCTCATGTCTACCCCCTTTGGAATATGCTTTTACCTTCCCTGTGTAACAAGGTGCCAGTCTATTCTCTAACTGTGCCACGGGGTTGCTAACAGGTTCGCGTGTACCAGTGGCTTGCCTTCCATTGTACAAAACTGATTTTTGTGATACAAAGACAAAAGTGGAGTGGTATTTATGGCATATACACTATCAGACCAAATGTTAATAATCCCTCAAGAAAATAAAACAACAATAAAATTGGTCACTTCAATTCATGATTGTTTTTGGGACATTGCTGTGCGTAATTGGCTGCCACGTTTTGCCCATAAATATACAGCCAATTCAATTTACAGTATATTCTGTGAAGCGCTTTGAGAAGACGTGAAAAGCGCTATATCAAATGCAAGGATTATTATTATCATCATATAGTAATGATGATGGTAGAAGAATGGTGCTGTAGCCTTTTCTTTCTGAGGTCCATTATTCTAACATCTGTGCTTAAGGACCTGATTGCTCATTATCTCAAAGGAGTGAACATCTTCTCAGGAAAATATGAAATCAGTAGTTGACCTCAACCGGACCAGCAAGCTACTTTTAATCCCTGCTAAGCTAATCATTAAATAGGCCTACCTTATTAAAGGATTGTAGGTAGGTTACATTCTAAAACTATATAGTTATTAATTAAAAGCCTTAAAAACATCAATAACATCGAAGGAGAAAAAGCGGCACCAGTGGCTAAAAAGAACTGGATAATACCCCCATTAGAGATTGAGTACCATTGAATCATTAGGACTACTAAGTGACTCTTATTCAATTAATTACCCAAGACAAGCAGAAGGATCAAGTAATGGACTGATTGTGATTTGGACTCCTGCTGTTCATATTAGTACAAGTTGTTGTGATTGTTATATTGCTTATTTTAATATGCTATGTTAAGCCGCTTTAAAAGAAAATGAAAAGATCACCTTGAATTGGCAAGTTTGATTCAAAAACAGGATAAGTGAGAGATCGAAAATCTTATTTTCTCACTCAAGGTGAGGACTGTAAGATTATATTTGTGATGCTTAATGATTTTTAAGTCTTTTTAATTAATCTCTATATACTTTTTGAATGTAACATAATATTTTAATAAGGTGGGTTTGATTTAAAGACTATCTTAGCAGGGGTTAAAAGTAGCTTGCTCTTGTTCAACCCTCAACTGTCCTTTCTCCCCCATCCATGCCATGGCCCACTCTGCCTTCCCCCACCTTCGCAACATTGCCCGACTTTGCCATTGCCTCAGCCGCCGAAACCCTCATATAATCATTTGTCACCTCAAGGCTTGACTATGGAAACTCCCTCCTTATCAGCCTCCCCAATTCTCCCCTCCACAAGCTGCAGGTCATCCAGAACTCTGCAGTTCATGTCCTCTCCTGCAGCGGGCTCCATGACTCCATCACCACCAGCTTCACCCGGCTCCACTGGCTCACCATCCCTCAGATAGAATTCAACATCCTTGCCCTCACTTTCAAAGCCCTCCCACGGCCTTCCCCCCTCCTACATCTCTGATCTGCTGACCCCCCCTATCAACCTGTTCACTCCCTCCGTTCAGCAGGCTCCGGCCTGCTCCAGGTCTCCCGCCTGACCCTACCATTGGCGGCCAGGCTTTCAGCCTCTGCCCCTACTCTTTGGAACTCCATCCCACAAACCTTTCGCCTTGCTCGCTCTCTTGCCTCCTTCAAGGCACGACTCAAGACCCTCCTTTTTGCCAGTGCCTTCAGCCGCCCTCCTACCCACTCTGCCCTCCCTCATCCCAACCCTGACCCCCATGTTCGGGTCCTGATCCCTGACTGTTCAGCGCCTTGGGACGTCCTCCCAATGTGAAAGGTACTTTACAAATATAATTCTGTTGTTGTTTCTGGACCAGTTGAGGTCAGCTCCTGATTACATTTCATATTTTCCATGGAAGATGTTCACTCCTCTGAGATGATGAGCAATCAGGTCCTCAAGCATAGATGTAAGACCAATGGACCTCAGAAAGAAAACACAACAGCCTCAGACACCTGCCTATCTCAAGGCTGAGAAACAAGCAGGCTGTGGAAGGCTGCCCAAAAGTTGTCTGTAATTATCTCTGCAAAGCAGCGTGCCCTAGGTCGCTAGAAGCTTGCAAAGGGTGGGGACTTCATTCTCTGTGATAAGGGGAGGCGGAGTTAGAAACACTTAAATGAAAGATGTAACTATGAATAGTTGGAGTCGATGTAGAGAGTCAACACTTCTTCTCAGGTATATTGATTTTACTGTATCTATTGACTCAGTTGGAACTTGTGTGACTTACTTAATAAACTTTGGATTATTGCACAACAGTATCAGTCGTCTCCATCCGAATTTCTTGCAGCATGGGTGTGTCCCTCCAGGGAGAAAGTGATACTCCATTCCAGAGACAAGAAATTTCGATGCATAGATGACATATATATGTGAAACTGAATCTGGATGTGACCAAAATAAATAGGCTCCAAAACCCTTATTACAGCCTATGAATTAATCAGCAAGATCTTCATGCCCAACTCACTGTCAAACCAGCACTCTCAATGGCAAACCATGCACACAGGGAAATGTGCACAGAAAAAATAAAAATTATTCAAGTAAACATGAAAATTGTGCAATGTTACACTAATAATTTAAATACAGGATACAGACATGGCTGTACACACTACTCTAATTCCAAGATAACAATGTGCTTTTAAACCATGCATAATAAATAGCCATACAAAAGTAATAAAAAAACTTACATCACCAACAAATGTGTGAAAGTACGTCCTGGCTTGATAATAATTAAAATTGTTGTAGATTTCCTGCTCCCACATTAGTCTCCCATCCTGCAAAAAAACACAAGCATGATTACTTCTTTCTAGGTTAAGAACTGGTTTTGCATTAGGTGCTACCACATTCCTCAGCTCCCCATATTCCAAGCTCAAGCTCCCATTAATAATCCTTGCATTTGATATACCGCCTTATCAAGTCATTGAGACGTCTCAAAGCGCTTCACAGAATATATTGTAAAGACTGTATTTTGTGGGCCAAATGCAGCAGCCAATTGCACATAGCAGTGTCCCCACAAACAGTCATGGATTCAGTCACTAGATTTTTTTTAAGGGATTATTACCCCCGGAAAGCGATCTGTCAATCAACTAGCAACCAGGTTCCTACTGACTGCTAGGTAAACAGAGGCGTGTGGAGTAAGGAAACTTGCCTAAGGCTTTGATCTGCCCAGGAATCAAACCCTCTCGCTTGCAAAGCGAGTGCTCTAACCACTATGCCATTGAGCTGTGTGAAACACTTTGAGACTTCCTCCCAATGTTAAATCTCTATATATACCTAAATAATATATGGAGTATATAATATATGGAGTAAAATGCAACTTAAACTTCCTCACAGTATATTCTGTGAAGCACTTTGGGACGTCTCGAAGACGTGAAAAGCGCTATATCAAATGCAAGGATTATTATTATCTTTAATTCACTGTACTCATTTACATTTGATATTGTGCTTCATCACTTGTGAGAGAGACTAAGAGAAACAGATAGAGACTGAGAGAAAGAGTGACTGAGCGAGTGAGACTGAGAGAGTGAGACAGAGAGACTGAGAGAGAGACATTGAGAGAGAGAGACAGAGAGACACTGAGAGAGAAAAATATTAACGGAGTGCTCCCCCAGCTGAGTATAGATAAAGACAAAATGTCTGTCTGTGTGTCAATCTTCATTCCGTATTGGATCCTTTGGTTGAGAATGGAGGAGCTGGGGAGTTCGTCGAGCAGAGCATTGGTGTAATCAAGCCTGAATATGATAAATACATTGATCGGGGTATTGGTGGCCCGACAGAAGAGATGGTGGCCAAGGCGGGTGATATTTCATGGATACCAAATGCAAGAAATACAAATGCTGAGCGGGTCAGAGCATGGATGTGGGTTGAAAGGACAACTGAGAGCCAAACAATACACTGAGATTCTGAACCAGCTCCACAAGGTAAAGGTTGCATCAATCCATGTCCTGGATGACAATCCCCCTGATAAAAATTGTCACCACTTTATCGGTGTTTGTGTTCAGTCTGTGTGTAAACTGGCTGCCATATTGTCCTACAAAAATTCATGTTTTACAGTAAATCCTTTAAGATGCAGGATACACAGGTAGATATTAGGGACCAGTCTGCTTTTGTTTCAAAGCAAAATGCAATGTTTTGCTCCAGTTATTTTGTGCAACCCATCACTTCCCATCCAAATTCACTCCCAAAATTTAAATCAATTGGTCATTCCCTTCTTGGCTGTTGTGGGACATTGCCATGTGTAAATTGCTGCCACATTCACCTACAAAATGCACAATGTACATAAGATGTGCTATGCAAATTAAAATAATAATCCTTACATTTGGTATAGTGCTTGTAACATGAAAATTTCTCAAAATGCTTCACAGAGAATTGCTGTCCTACTATGTCGCTGACAAACAATTTCTAGTTATCCAATATTTTAGTCTGATCCATTTTCTCTTTTCTTAGACAAAACAGAAATACTGCTGGAAATCTGAAACAAAAACAGAAGTTGCTGGGAACACTCAGTAGGTCAGGCAGCATCTATGGAGAAAGGAAAATGAGTCAACGTTCCCCAGTTCCCCTCCCAACATGCCCCAGTTCTGATGAAGCTTTTCTTTCTCTATAGATGCTGCCTGACCTGCTGAGTGTTCCAAGTGACTTCTGTTTTTGTTTCTCTTGTCTTAGGATGGCGTTATAATGCATATATATGAACTATGTATATGCAAGTTGTTATTGTTGGGTTTCAGAGAGCAGGGACATAGCGGTTGAAAGTTCAAAGCAGATGGTTAGACAGAGGGAGCGAGGGGCCTGGAGATACAGGCTCCATAGTTCTTGATGAGAAGTGAAATCAGTCACAAGTAGCTTGACTAGCTGTCTTTTCCAGTTAGAAATTCAGGAAGGAACATCCAACATTCACAAAAGCGTTTCGTTCTTTTCCCTTTCTGGTCATATCCTCGGCCAGCCCCCATACACCTATATCTGTAAAGGTGTCTGCGCATATGCACCTTCCAGCAGAGTTACCATCTCAGATGCAATCTTAATCCCTCATCCTATACATAGCGCCAATTCAGGTATTTACCCACAGTTGGCGGTTCGACAGGAAGTAATGCTGTTCCACCTTCTGGGCCAGAAACTCTGCTAATCAGCTGACAAACGTTGGTGGCAATGCTGCCTGACTGGTAGAGAGCAGAGAAGTAGTACAAATCATTACTTCCTCTCTCCCAAGCCCTCAACACTCAATATTTTCAAAGGCAGATCAATATATCTATTTTTTTGAGCAAGTGATCCTTTGCTGAGGCATGCCATTACTCCCAGGGGCTGTTGGGTTAAGTATGGCATAGAAGCAGTCCAGAGGAAAGCACCATTTACTCTGCCTCAACAATGTGCCCACCCCTCCTTCTCAATTGGTACCTACTGGGCCTTAGAGACGCCCTCAAAGAATGCGGAAAGTACAGCTTCGGAGCAGGCCATTCAGCCCAAGTGACAGACTAGGGTGACCTGTCAGACTGAATTGCTAACTTCTGAACAGTTCAAATGCAAAGAATATTAGTTCTGAGCTGCTAACCCATGGCCACCAGATTAAGACTGAGGTGCATGCAGTGTCCACTTCCTTACCTCAAGTATGTACTGGATTTTGACCCAAGTAATAATGTTTGCATTTGATACAGCACCTTATCACCTCAGAACTCGTCTCAAAGCTCTTCACAGGATTTACTGTGTATTTGTCGTGTAGTTACAGTAGGTCAAAGGCCGATGCCGAACCGTCATTTACCTTTATGTCGTAAACTCGGATGAAATAAGACCTTTGTGGATTGTCTTTGATGAGGCAGGCCACACCACAACATTTCTTTGTCCAGTGAAAACGCTCCGATGCAAATACTTGCACGACGGCTGATGCTAAAGTCTGTAAGACAAAGCAAAGCTTGAATTAAATTAACATTAAGGTTTGGAAGCTAAAGGTTGGACATTCAGTAATAAAAAAACATTGCATTTGATATATCGCGTTTTACATTGAGAGAACATCTTAAAACACTTCACAAAATTTTCTGTAAAGTGTAGTTACTGTGTGCTTTGTAGGCAATTTACTTATTATAGGAAGAACTGCTTCTATTGTGGGCAAATGGAGAGAGTGGGGAAAACATATAATAATCTTTACATTTCACATATCATCCTTCACATCAGAATGACGCTTCATAGGATATACTCTAAAGTGACTGTGTATTTTACAAATGAACGTAGCAGCCAATTTGCATCAAACAATGACCCACAAATATCCATGGAAGTAAATGAACAATTTTATTTGGCCAATTGTTGTAAAGTCCTGTAGCTCAGTGGATAGAGCACTCGCTTTGCAAGCGAGAAACCGGAGTTCAATTCCAGGCAGGGCGAAACCTTGGGCAAGTTTTCTTACTTCACATGCCTAATAATAATCCCTCCAAAACAAAAACCATAATAAATTGGTAATTTTCAACCACGACTGTTTGTGGGACATTGCTGTGCGCAATTGGCTGCCGCGTTCGCCCACAAATATACAGTCAATTCACTTTACAGTATATTCTGTGAAGCGCTTTGGGACGTCTAGAAGACGTGAAAAGCGCTATATCAAATGCAAGGATTATTATTATTATTATTAAAGGACGCAGGAAGAAACTCTCTTCTCTTTTTTGAATACTATCACGGGAATCTTTAATGTCCACCTGAACATGCAAACAGGACCTGTTTTAATGCTTCAAGGACATGACCACAGATAATGCACAAATTCCAAGTTATGACATGGGGCTTGAACCCAAAACCTTCGGATCGGAGGCACGAGTGTAACAAACTAAGCCAGGCTGACACACATGCTGTGATGACCTTGAGTGGTTTAAACACTCACAACACATTGGGAGAGCAGTATTTGCTTGAGCTCTGAAGGGATCAGCCAAGGACTGCTGCTGCAAAGCACGTCCTGGGATGGGGTTGCGGAAAACACTGCTTCCAGTGGCAAACACCACTGTGGATTTTTCTGCAAGGTTGCTGACCTGTATGTCAGAAAATAGAGGTATGATTCTCGACTGTGATATCACTGAAATTGCAAGTGCATTGTTCTTTCCGTGTTACCGGAACATCGCCAGACTACGGCATTACCTCACCCCTCACGCTGCTGAAACCCTGGTTCACGCCTTTGTCACCTCAAGGCTGGACTATGGGAACTCTCTCCTCGCCGGCCTTCCCGCCACCTCCCTCCACAAGCTGCAGGTCATTCAGAACTCTGCAGCTCGTGTACTGTCCCGCACCAGGCTTCGGGACCACATCACTCCCACCCTCGCTCACCTCCACTGGCTTCCCATCCCCCAGAGGATTGATTTCAAGATCCTCATCCTCACCTACAAGGCCATTCACGGCCTTGCTCCCTCCTACCTCTCCAACCTACTATCCCCTACCTACCTGCCCGTACCCTCCGTTCCTCCAGCTCCGGTCTGCTCCACGTCCCCCGCCCCAATCGCCCTACCATTGGTGGTCGGGCCTTCAGCCTCTCAGCCCCGAGGCTCTGGAACTCTATCCCCCAGTGCCTTCGCCTTGCTTCCTCCCTCTCCTCCTTCAAGGCCGGTCTCAAAACCTTTCTCTTTGACCGAGCCTTCAGCTCCCCTCTCGATTCTCTTCCCCCTTCTCGCTCCCTCCCATCCCTCCCCTCACCCCGACCATTTCCCCCCTCCTCGCTCCCTCCCCTCCCTTGACCATTTCCCCCCTGCTCGGGTCATGACCCAACTGTGCAGCGCCTTGGGACGTCCTCCTGACGTGAAAGGCGCTTTATAAATGGAATCTTGTTGTTGTTGTTGTTGTTGTTGTTGTTACCACAGCTACTGTGGAATCTGCACTGCAAAGTAAACTAGCTTGTTACCAGTTGTCTCAAGGAGTCAGGTGTGAGGTGCTGGAAAGATGCCAGAATTCACTCCTCTTCCCAAACTGCTTCAGTATTTCCTGAGTGTGAAATCTGCTTACACACATTATTTGTAAGTCAACACCCACAAGATAAAATTTAGCACAGATTAACCACGGTGACTAGCCATAGTTGGTGGAGACTCAATTTCACACATGTAAAATTTTGGTTTACTGACAATTTCTGTATGATAGACCCCCAACAGTATATAACAACAATAATAATGACAACCAAACACTCAGTGGTTTTATACAAAGTCTCTGATTTATTCCCAGGGTCATGAAGATATTAAGAAACGTTTCTGTCTGTCAATGACACCAAGATTTAAAAAATTAAGTGTTTATCCTGTACATCTTTACCCACCGTTGCCCAATATCCCTTGATAACAATAACTTGCATTTATATAGCACCCCTCACACAGGTTAGCATCCCACAGTGCTTGACAGTGGCAGAGCACAACACTGAGCCGGGGGGGGGGGGGGGGAGAGGGGCAGGTGACCGTAGGCATGGTCGAATTGAAAGGTTTTCTGGCACAACCTGAGGATGGGGAAGGAAGGGCAAAGTGGCAGGATAGAGAAAGAGTGTTCCAGAGTTCGGTGAGTAGTGACTGAAATGGTGGAACAGAGGGGACATGAAACATGCAGGCCAGACCCAGTCAAGCGGAGGTAGCAGGTTGTGCAGTAATTGGGTCGGAGGAGTAGGGAGGTGCATGACGGGATTTTAAACCCTTACCTAACAAATATCTATTCATCTCAGTCTTGAAATTTTGAATGGATCCAGCATCCATAGCTTTTTAGGAGAGAAAGTTCAATATATATATATATATATGTAGAGAGAGAGAGAGGGATATTATATAACTTCATATCTGTTTTGGAAAGCAGCCCAGTTAACAGACCTGATCAATATTTAATGTGCAAGTACCACTATGTTATTCAATTCCTCAGGAAGCTGATAGGAGTTTTCATGCTTTTCCTGAATATAAGAAGGAAGTTTGTAGTTCTGCAAACAATATTGAAGAAAACTGAGATAGCCGGGTTGGTCCAAAGTACTAATACTGCCGAGGGCAGACCAGCTGTACTTGGCAGGGCAGACCAGTCACTTGGGGCAAGAATTCTTCCCACTCACTCCTTTTAACCCTGCAAGCCAAAGCCAGAAAGGGTTGGGTGATCCTAACCAGACAGTGATTTTTCACACAACAATATCCTATAAACAGCCATTAAGTGAATAACAACAAAATTACATTTGTATGGCGCCTTTCACGTTGGGAGAACGTCCCAAGGCGCTGCAACAACCAATTTTTTGGGTGGATTATTGGCAAGGACACAGGGGGAAACTACCTTTTTTTGAATAATGCTATGAGATCTGTGACATCCGCCTGAACACACATAGATGCAACCTTGGTTCAATGTCTCAATAGAACGCACAAGGAAACAGGAAAATGATAAGCAAAAATGATCAACTTGAAAACTAAACAGTAGTATTGATGCCACAGGCAGTTAAATACCTGCTTCTATGACTGTACGGTCCAAGCTATCAATGCAATCGGAATAGGATTGAGGCTGGTCAGATTGAACATGCTTTTTCTTCCCAATATAATCGCTTGCTTTTGAGGTGAACCTCCAATACTGTTGCTAAAATAAGGATGAAACCAACTGAAACAATGGCACAGCTTCAACATGAAGATATTGAAGGGCACTAAACTCCAAAGTTTATTTGCCTCTTCCCTCCCCGCCACATACACACACCAGTACCAAAAGCCTGAAAATGCTTTTCAAATGAGCAGGGCAAATGTTTTAAGAGGGAACTTCAAATTCTAAACAAATCACCAGTGACTTTCTGAATGCCTATTTGGTTGTGAATTGAAGTTGGAGCAACAACTGCCTTTCAGAAAAGTGGGCCTAGAAACACTGCAGAGAAAGCTGACTGAATATGAACACACTGTGTCTTGTTTAGTAACCAAATTCCTCTCCGTACAGTGAGATTGTAGCACAGTAACTGGCAAAAGACGACCCTGCTGAGAATATGCTACACAAAAGGATTATTTAATGGCACTAGCTGAAAAGTGAAAGGAGTTTCTCCCGGTACTGTGTGTCAACAATCTGCCAAATAAGATTGGTCATTCACTTTGTGGCTGTTTGTGGGAAACATTGCTGTGCAAAACCTAGCTGCTGTGTTCACCTCAACAAATACAGTCACTCTACTTTATATTAAATCCTAGGAAGTGCTTTGAGATATCCTTCGAATATGGAAGACACTGTATCAAATGCAAGGATTATTATTCCCTCCTCCCTGTGGGTCATGACTCATAAATCACCGCACGTTATATGACGTAGGATTAGAAGGAGTCCATTGTGCCTATCCTTGTTCTTTGAAAGAGCTATTCGTTTTATCCCACTCTCTTGCCCTTTCCTCGATCCTCTTTTATATTTTTCTTTTCAAATATTTGTCCAATTCCCTTTTGAAATCTATCATAGATTCTGCTTTAACCAGCAATTATGGTAGAGAGTCTATTATAATAATCCTTGCATTTGATGTAGCGCTTTTCACAGAACAATAATAATAATCCTTACATTTTGATACAGCGCTTTTCATGGCTTCTCGACGTCTCAAAACGCTTCACAGAATAGACTGTAAAGTGAATTGACTGTATATTTGTGGGCAAACGGTGACAGCTAATTGTGCAGCAGTATATCACAAAGAGCCGTGGATTGAGTGACCGTGGATTGATTTTTTGGAGGGATTATTACCTCCAGGAACCAATCTGCCAATGGACTAACACTGGGTTCCGACTTATTGCTACGTAAACAGGAGTGTGGAGTAAGCAAACTTGCCTAAGGTTTTACCCTGCCCGGGAATCAAATCCGGGTTCTCTCGCTTGAGAGGCGAGTGCTCTAACCAATACACTACAGGACTCCAATTGCTTATAATCTGCTGCGTGAACAAATTTCTCCTGATCTCTTCCTGAGGTTAGACTTAAAGCTTGT